CTTAGGAATCCAGAGTATTCAAGACTAAGACACAGACCTCAAGGGCTGGGTAGTCCATGGCTGGCGCTGATCCTGAATGGTGACAGACAGTAGGGCAGCTGTGGCTTGAGGGTCCCCTTTCCTGTTCACTGGCTGTGTGTCTTCAAGAACTCTCCTGGCCTACCTAGGCCACACGCTAGGAGTAACTGGGTCTCACCTGCATGTTTCTCTAACAAGAAGTCTGTTTGTTTGAATGGTAAGTTTGAAACTGTACTGAGGCACCGGAGAGATGGCAGCAGTTAACAGCACTTGCACAGGATCCCACATGGTAGCTCACTACTGTCCCTAACTCCAGTTCCACGAATCTAAGCCCTCTTCTAGCCTCAGAGGCACTACATGCACGTGGTGCACTTACACATAGGCAGGCAAAACACTTGTATGTATGTAATAGAAATAAATCAAAAACAGTTTTTTCTTTAAAACAAAACCTGTACTCAGTGCAAATAAAGACACACACCTACAATCCCAGCACTTAAGGCAGGAGGAGTGTCACAAGTCTGGAAGTCTGGGGCTAGCCAAGACTACCTAGTAAGTACCCGGCCAGCCTGGTACATACTGTGAAATTCTTTTCCAAAAAGGAACAGAGACAGTTCCTAGGGCATCCAAAACCGCACCCTGGAAGAGGCGACTTTGGCCCTGAAAGGCCCATGGGAAACCTTCAGGTAGGAAGGGCTGGAAAGGGGCCTCCAGCAAGGGCACTCAGGGGCCAGATATGGCAGAGGGTGCAGCCAGCCTCAGCCCACACAGCAGAGGTTGCTACACAGGGAGAGGGAGGCTAGGCCACAATGCCTGTCTTCCGCCCTCCATCCCTTCTCAACCTCTATCATTTCTAGATTGTTCTCTCCTTTCTGACCATTTTCTCTGCCATCCAAACAGATGCAATGGAAAGTTAAGGAGAAACTCTAACTATGGCCTCCCAGTTCCACTTTGCTTTCTAGAAACACCCAACACAACACTGTCCTCAACTCTGTGCCTATACAGTTCCTTCCAATAGGAACACCCATCCCTGCACACTGGACTCATTCTGTATATCCTGCCACCCTCAACCTGCCCCGTTTAGGCCATTCCTTCTACCTCTACCTAAGCTCCAATGCTTTCCTTGGGGCCTGAGTCCCCAGCAAGTCCACACGTCACGGCAGGCTCCAGTCCATGGCCCACAGTGGGAGAAACTGCAATAACTCGAGGTGACCTCAGAAAAACCATCAGCTCCTCATGTCCCACCCCCCATCCAGGCTGCTGAGTCTTCTTCCTATGCCTACACATTAGCTACTGTGCCTGCTTCCCACTTTAGGGAGATGATCTGGTCTTACTCAACATTACTAGCCCCATGCTGGGGACTTCTGCTGAACTATAGGGAAAACTGGAGCACGGGGTGGGGGGAGGTGGTAAAGCAGGTAATAAAGCCTAGACACCAGATTCCCCCTCACCCAGCAGGGCTGGTCCCTGGTGGTGAGACAGAGTTGGTAAATCTCAGAGATCCAGTGGTCCCAGTTAAGGCAGCCAGCAGCACAATGGGATCAGCCTTTGATGAGCCTCATGGCTTAGTTATGAGTGAAAACATCTATCAAAGGCCACAGCAGGATTAAGCACATTCCCAGCTTCCAACATGAGCTCTTTGTCAACGGTCCAGAGATAATGAATGTGTCTGAGGACTCAGCAGGTCACTGTCAGAAGACATCCGGGACCCCTGGACACTCCCAGGCACTCTCTGCCCCAGGGATTCCCAGGTTTGGTAAGGATAAAGGGGCAATTTCTCTCCACATTAAAGGGCAACTGATTGCCTCTGGGGTGGAATGCAGTATCTGTTCTGCAGTGACGGATGACAGCCGCCTGGGAAGAAGCATCCCATAGCTAATTGATAATCCCCGGGAGAACTTTAGGTGGGTCCAGGGTAATTACCAAATTGGAGCAGAGCCAAGGGGCTTGATTCCTGGGCTCTGGCCATGACAAGGCAGCATGCCTGTGTAAAGCCAGTGGCCTAAAGACTCCAGGAAGTGGATGAACTGTCAGAGAGGAGTCTCTGGGTATTCTGCCACCTGACAGCAGGTGGCACCGGGAGGGACCCCATTCTGATCTCAAAACCTTAACCCTGCCTCGCCCTGCCTGACTGAGTCACCCCCGTGACAAGCACCAGGGACCTGAAGAAGTAAAACCTCAGCTGACACTCACTTGACTTGTAAAGACGCCCAAGAGGCCGACAAATCCTCCCAGCTTTGAGTCAGATGGGTGGCTGTGGCCCAGGAGCACCCACAATGTGTTCCTCCGCTGAGGCTTGCAGGGTACCAGGAGCTAGCACACCACCAGCCCCTGCCATGGCACCACCCTGTAGGGGCACTCTGGAGAGCTCAGGGGGTGTGCAGAGAACCTGTGCAGGTCCCAAGAGAGATGCAAGTGCTGTGGGAGTCGAGCAGCTCAGCTCCTTTTGTCCTTGAGGCTCTATGTGAGGGGTTCTCACCCCACCAGGATGAGTCTGAATTTCCCATGGTGGGTTGGTTACTAATGTCTTGCCTTCTCAGGCTTGCGAGTCTGGCTGGTGAATGGGAAAGACAGAGGGTTCTACACGCTGCCCACTGCCTGGGAGACAGGACAAGCTCGTCCTCAAACCTGCAGGCCACCTGCTGAACACTTTGGTCACATCACTATCCTCCTCCAATCTCTCTGGACTTCACTGTTCTGGGTCAGCAATGTAGACCAGAGGCTCTTGGCAGAGTTCACACCTGCTGCAGAGTCACACTCACTGGATTCTCTGCACCCTGAGAAAGCAGAGCCAGCATAGTAAAGTTGCTGCTGCTGCTCTTCTTTTTGTCATTCTTATTTTGAGACAGGGTCTCATGGAGCCCAGACTGGCCTCAAGGTTGCTACGTAACCAAGGATGACCTTGACCTTCTGATCCTCCTGCCTCTACCTCCTGAGTAGGAGATTACAGGTGTGAACTACCACACTCAGCCCTTTATGTGAATTTTAAAATGTATAATTTGGACCTCCTCTGTGGGTCCAGACTGGTTTCAATCCACTCACTACTCCCTGTGAGCACCCCCAAGTGATGTGGCAGGAAAGCATGGGGTCCTGAAGTGCCGGAAGTGGATCAACACTCTTTTCACTCACTGATAGATGGAAGCCCAGAGATCAGCCCCAGACCACAGAGCCAATTAGCTCAATTGTCCTGCTGTAGAGTCTGGATTCCATTCATTGGAAACCCTGAGTTGGGAGGCGGGGTTTAACAGATTGCTTTACTGCAGGGCTTAGAGCCATTAACAGGCCCAGGTGCACCGTGATGCCCCAGGTGGGTAGGAGGAGAGTGTGCCCTGCTTTCCAGCTGTATTAACGCAAGATGGTTCATACAGATGGCCAGCGAGCCTCAGTATGCCCCAAAAAGGACAGCACTGCTATGCTGCCCCAGGTAGAATTTCTGAGGACATGTGTGGTTGCAAGCTAGCCCACATGAACATCTGTGACATGCTCCACTGCCTTACTGAGGCGTTTCTCAGATGAGCCTGGTGGGAGGTTCAGTGTCCCACCAACCCAACTTCCCCTAGCTCCACATCAGAACCAGAGAGTCTGGGAGCTGGGGGACTGACAATCACCAACACTATACCAAGAGATGGTTTCAAATTGTTCTGCCAAACTTGAATGAAGGCCAAAAGATACCCCTCCTGATGAACCTGCAAAAACCAGGTGTTTTCCACTCTCATGTCTTATTTTGCCATTTTCCTCAATGAAGCTTCAAGATCTGAGCTATGGGTTTGAGCCACCATGCCAAAAAGCAACCGTATCCTATTTCAGTAGGATATAGAATAACCTCAGCTATAATGAGTAAGAGCCAGATGTTTGAAAAGACAGGGGCGATCTCCCAAATTTGAACATTACAGAATGCGTCAAAACATCACGTGGTTCCCATAAATATGCCAGCTTTTATGCGTCAGCTGGGAAAAGATTAAGAGCTATTTCCATACTCTGTCTCATCCATCCTCCCAGGAACCCAACAGAACCCTGAGCACTTAGGCAGGAAGACTCCATAAGAGCCCATCCACTCCCCACAGGCCTGCCCCTCATGGCACCATCCCCCAGGCAGAGCAGAAGAAGGGTTGTGTGCAGAGGGAACCCACACCAGCTTGGAGGCAGGAGTCTCTGACCTTTAGAGGGAGCATATTCCTGGAGACTGGTCACCCTGGTCCCCTGCCCTAGGGCCTGGGAGATAGCCTGCAGAATCCCGGAAAAGGAGCACAAAAGGGGTTAACCTGGTAGCCTCCGAGTCTGAGCCCCTTCTCCAGGTCCCACTTGGTAGATTCCAAACTTGCTGTTTGCTCTAACCCTGCCCCATGCCCCAGGCCAATGGCCAGATGGTGCCCAGTCCTGTGTTGTCCTCCCACTCTCCCTTGTTGACTGACTGTCTACACACCATGGCTCTGGCCCTGATACCAACCAGGCCTCTCTGGAGAGGCCCAGGTGACTGACACATGCTTAGTCCTAACTCTGATAGTCAGCCTTCCAATGGCCAGATCTGCCAGAGTGGCTACAAGGGCTTAGTGACAGGATTGACCTTACATGCAGTTATAATGGGGAGACTTCCCATTGTAAAAGCAGAGTAATGTCTGCCCCAGGAGAACCCAGCCTTATGGGGAATGTGGGAAGATTCTGACAGCTCTGAACCTGATTCTCTGTGGCAGGATGTGAGCTGTGTAGACTTGGGAAAATCCCTCAGCCTCACTGAAGTCGAGCTCCTTCCTCTATGAAGCAAGAACAATGATTCTACACCTTTTATGTTCCCGACAGCAAAGCTGCTCAGTCAACATCATGTACTAAGCACTTACTGAGCATCTATAACTCAGTAGCAAGAGCCCCTGGACTGGGTCCTGCCTGAGTGACAGCCCTCCCTGTTCTGTCCCTGTGAGGGTTCCCCTCCCCCCTCGCCAGCCCCACCCCTGCCCAAAGCCATCTTAGCAGAAAAGTTCAGGACTCACGGGATATGAGGTTTTTTCTGAACCTTGATGTGATGGCTGGGGTCATAGTAACCAGGCCCAGGGCCTGTTGATGTCAGTTTTATTCCACGGTCAGTTTTAGACTTGAAGCAGGACACTAAGACCTTTGGTGACTGTTTTACCAGGGATTCGTTGACATTGTAATGGCCTGAACAGAGACAAACATTGACACAGGATGGAGACACTCCAGATAAGTGAAAAGCAGCATCTTCCAGCTCTCGGACACCTCACAGACAGCTCCTAGGGGACATCTTTCAGTGGGTCAGCCAGGAGGGCTACCTGTGTCGGCTGAAGACCAGACTACCACTGTGTGGTGTTCAGAACATGGCAGTGAACACCACGTACTTTACCCCATGGTCCTCAGAGCAGCCACATGGGTCTAACCTTCCATCCTACACATAGGTCCCTGATACTCAGAGATAGGAATTAACTTTTCAGTGGACAGTCATCCAACCAGGCACCCGACGACCCTCCCAACCTCACGATCACTGGGGTAGTCTCCTCTTCTGTAGAGTGAGAACATTCACACTTCTGGGGGTGGGATGGTTCTGATGGCTGATTGCTGTCTTGGTTACTTTGAAATGGAACGTAAGCAACTGTGTGTGTGTGTGTGTGTGTGTGTGTGTTATGCACATACGTATGCAAGTGTGCATGCCCATGTGCCTGGAGGCCAGGGGAGCATGCTGGGTATTCTGCTTTATCACTCTGTATCTTATTTCCTTGAGACAGAAGTCTCTCACTGAACTAGAACTGGAACTAGACTAGTAGACAGCAAATCCCAGTGATCCACTCCTCCCCTCTTTGCCCCCCACAGCACTGGAATTACAGGGTGCATGTGTGACCATGCCTAGCCTTTTACATGATGGGTCATGGGGATTTAGACATATGCTTGTAGAGCAAGCACTCTTACCTGCTGAGCCATCTCCCCAGCCCCTAAGCAATAGGTTCTTACTGAGCATCTGCTGTGTGGAGAGATGTCCATCTAGCACTAAGGCCCAGCCATGCTCTGTCTCAAGAAACCCTGACAGAATCCAATTCACTTTTGCACAAGGCTTCAGGGAGGAATGAATGGCCAGAGTTGGAAGCAGCCTCACCCTAAAGGGAGTGAGGGGAGCAGCCTCACCCTAAATCATCAGCAGCCCTGGGAGTGGGAAGTTAGGGAACAAAGTCAGCAATACTAGGCAAAGGCCTTCAAGACTCCTGCACACCTTGGTCCAGGCTTCCGGTCACTCAGAAATTAAAATACTTATTCAACAGAATTGAAAAGCATAAGGCTAGACACACATCAGGCAGGGCAGCATCCAGGCGTAAGGCAGCTTCACAGGGACTGAGCTGGCCTGAGGGAAGGTGAGCCACACAATGACAGGAATGCCACACCGGCAAAGCTTGATTTTTGGTTTGTTTTTGTCTCTTGGTTCTTTGCACGTGAGCGTGCGTGCATGTGTGCATGCATGTGTGTGTGTGTGTGTGTGTGTGTGTGTGTGTGTGTGCGTGTGTGTGTGTGTGTGATCATGCAGGAGCAGGTGGAGGCCAGAGCTCAATGCCAGGTGTCTTCCTCAATTGCTCTCCGCCCTTCAAAAAAAAAAAAACTTTTATTTTTACATGTGTTTATGTATTGTGTGCGCCATGGTGTACATGTGGCGGTCAGAGGACAACTTGTGGGATCTCAGGAGTCAAACTCAGGTCGTTAGGCTTGGCATCAAGTACCTGCTGAGCCATCTTGTTGGCCCTCCACCTTATTTTTTGAGACACGGTCACTCACTGAAACCTAGAGCCCTCAGATTTGGCTAGACTGGGTAGCCAGCAAGCCCCCAGGATCCTCCTGTCTCTGCCTCCCCATGCCAGCACATGCCACTACACGGGGTTTTTTCACTTGACGGTAGAGGTCAGGTTCTCAATGCTTGTTCTCAGCAAATCAGCCATGTCTCCAGCCCTTCTTTTTGGTTGTTTTATTTTATTTTTTTAATTTTTTGTCTTTTTGAGACAGGGTCTCCCTGTAGCTCCAGCTGGCCTGGGACTCACTATGGAGACCAGGTTGGTCCCTGATCTCACAGTGATCCACCTGCCTCTGCCTCCTGAGTGATGGGATTAAAGACGTGCATAATCACACCCAGCTTTATTTTGTTTTTTGAGACAGATCTTACACTGTAGCACAAGCTAGCCTCAAACTTGTAGCAGTCCTGCCTTGGCACCCCCCAAATGCTTGGATTAAAGGTGTCATATGTTCATATTTTTAGAGATATGCATGAATGAAAAAGTGACACAAAGCTTGAATGTCTACGTGTTTGATGACATGTATGACCAAGTGACCATGGCTGAATCAGGACAGGATGAAGAGGGGGTAGGGGAAGCCAGGAAAACAAATTTCAGTAAGTAAATAGAATTGATGGGAATCCAGAAAAGTGGAAACAATTGTATTAGCAGTGGCACAGTGTGGATAATATTTGAAAATATTATAAATTTGACTTTGTTCTGTTTGGGTCTTTGTTTTTAAGACAGGCTCTCACACTGTAGCCCAGACTGACCTCGAACTCAAGGCAATCCTCCTGCTTCAGTCCCTGAGAGGCTGACTTTGTCTTAAAGTTTACTTTCCCGTTGCCAAAAAGAACACTGGGGTGGCATGAACAGGATCGAAGGGGCACGATCATCTCCAGCTGGGGCAGAGCCCTGTGTACTCTGGAAGTCAGAGGATGACCACTATGCTGAGGAGCAGTTTAGTCCAGATTCTGTTCTTTGTTACAGGAACTGGCTTCTGGGAGGGAGCAGGCCCCTATGGCTGGCTGTGGGGTGCCCCAACCCAGGGCTCTGTGGTGGGGCCTCTGGCTAAACCCCAGGGGTGTCAGCTTTGTTCTGCCGTATAAACAAACAAGGTGGGGCTTTGAGGGGATGATGCAAGGACAGGGTGGTAGGGGAGCTGTGGTGCTGCTGAGCCTCCTAATTAGCGCTGGCTTTGTTACTCAGCTTCAGCCAGATCTTCTCGGCTTTAATCTGGATTTGCTGAAATCTGACATGCCCTGCAATTTTCTCCACACCCCACGCCTCCCTGCTCCTCCTCTGGGTTCTGGGGCCCAGAGTTTCCTGGCCTGGCTAGGCAAAGTGAGGTTGGGGGAGGGGGACACCTCTGGACCCCTCTGGGCTGATCAACTAGGATGTATGCTCCAAGGCTAGAGGTCTGGGAGCAGAGGGGGATGTACCACCCTTTGGAGCCCATTGGGAAACAGTGCAGGCACGCTCAGCTGTGTTCCTAGATCTTGGTTCCAGAAGGCACCAAGGAACCCTAGGAAGTGGGCTCTAGTCAGACACCCCTGGGTTTAGGTCTGCTATTTTACTGACCCAGTGACAATGGACAAGTCATTGTGACAATCTAAGCTTCCACTTCCTCTTGTGAAAAACTGGGCTAAGGGCTGGGGAGATGGCCAGCAGTTAAGAGCACTGGCTGCTCTTGCAGAAGACCTGGGTTCAGTTCCCAGCACCCACACATGGTAAGCTAATAACTATCCACAACTCCAGTTCCAGGGGATCCGACGCCCTCTTCTGGCATTCGTGGGCATTGCAGGCCCATGGTACACTTAACATACATGCAGGCAAAATAGTCATACACACAAAAATTTTTTAAAAATAAATTTTTTAAAAATTTGAAAACTAGGTTAAGGGCACAGGTCCACGTAGACAAACTTAAAACACTCTGCATGGAGTGGAACGCTGGGAAATGGCAGTGTCAGAGCAGCAGGAGGCCCTGTCATTGTCTCCCTCCATTCCTCCCTGCCGGTAGCCTTCAGAGGCCACTTCCCCACCTGGCTGCCCAGAGCAGGTGGCAGGGCCCCAAAAGGTCAGCCAAGAAGGCTGATTAGGGACATGTGCAGAGCCAGCTGCAGACCCCTTCTCTGTTCAGCACTTTCTCTGCCTCTACCTCCTCCCCCCCAACCCAACTCCTTCTGGAAAGGCTCCCCAAAGAGAGATGGGTATCCTGAGAACCCAAGGCCAGGCAGCCGCTTACCTGGTGCAGGTCCCAATCTGGCCACAGGGAAGGATCCTCTTTGAGTTTTTGATAGGAACCCAGCTCGAGCAGAGACGTTGTTTTTCTGTCTGCAGCAAGAGATGGAGACCTGGGGGTGGGGGTGGGGGAGAAAACACACCCCTGTGTGCTAAGTGCCTTCCCCCTCTCTGTCTTTGTCACCCCGCTGGAACAAGTGGTAAATATGAGTCAAAAAAATATCAAATTTAAACCTGTCCTTCTTAGAAAGAGAACTGACGTGAACAAAAGGCAATGCTGACTTTACCGTATCCCCGCTCGAGTGGCCTGTGACAATCACACACACACACACACACACACACACACACGGCAGCAAAGTCTGACCCAGCCTGGTGCCAGAAGAGAACCTTGAAGACCCTGCCTCTGGTCTCCCTTCTACCCGGCAAGGCTGTGTGGTCCAGCTGAGGTTGTTTAACCTCTCTGGGCCTGAGTTTTCTCCTCTATAAAATGGTTCAGATAATCCCTCTTGCGTTTGTTGTAGAACATTGTTGGGGACAAGGGTGGCCAACAGGAACCATCTAGAAAAAGCGTTGTTTCATTTCTTTTCAGTATTGAGGTCTTGTGTATATTGGACCAGTAATCCACCACTGGACCAGTAATCCACCACTGAGCAGTCCCCACAGTCGTTGGGAAACTGTTTTGCTAAGTATGTGATGCTCTGCACGTGAATTTTTTTCATGAATTTTTGCCTGTTATTTTTATTCTTTTCAAGACTGGTCCTCCATATCCCCGCCTGATCCCTGGCTGCATTCCTTACTGTGCAAACAGTCCTTTATAAACATGGCATCTGGGGTACAGACTGCTATCTCTCAAGATTGTGATCACTGCTCTAATCACTCCTTTCTCTTTGCTTTTCTGGACTGACCAGAAGTTAAGAATTCTGGTTGATCCACGAAATTTATGTATGATGTGGTCTGATGTGGTCAGAACTCTAAAAACAATAGGAGGGGGAGAAACTTGAGGTCATTCTTCTGTTACGCATGAATCACAAATATTTGAAGTGCCAATTTGCAGTCAGTCTCCTGTATTCATTAGATAACAGAAGTAATAAAAATTGTGCCCAAGATCGCTGGGTATATTTACTGAATGAGTGAGAGACTAGTCTGTCTCTTGAGAAATGCAGGTGGCATTTTGATTTTATGTTCACAAAGGTGGAGGAATGTAGCTTTTCTCAGGGTCCCGACGGCAGGTTGCATACAGAGAGCTCTGACACAAAGGCCAGATGGGCAGGCTAATTACTGGACAAGAGAGAACCAGGCCCAGCAGGAAGATAATAACAGTCCCAAGCCAAGGACTCCAGAGAAGAAGCCAGGACCAAGGCCAGACACAGGCGAGTTGCTCAGTGCACAGTGTGGCTAACAGGATTATGGCCTTTCTGCTCCTTGCCTGCTGCCTCCACCATTGTTCTCCTGGGCTGGGGAAAAGCCGCCTGCAGACAAAACAGTTGCCAGGCTTTGTTCTTTACCCAGACAGAAAAGCTGCTGAAAATAGAGCATCTTGGTACAAACTGTGCATCACGGGAAGATTCTGCCATTAGACTAGGAAAATAATCAACAGGTGAAAACAGACAGAGGGACTCAACATGTAGCCAAAGCAGAAAATGCATGTGGACCCTGTGCAGGGTAACCTCCAAACCACCTGGCTCTTGATGATGTCTGTCTTGGGAAGCAGGATTATAAGGGAATTAGCATGGAGCTGGAGAGATGGAGAGAGGTTAAGATGCTTGGTTCTCTTCTTGAAGACCTCAGTTCAGTTCCCAGCATCCACATGGGTGATTCACAAGTGCCTATAAACCCAGCTCCAGAAAGATCCAATGCCTCTGGCCTCCAAAAGTGCCTGTACTCACATGTATATACCCACACAGAGACACACACAATTAAAAATAAAATAAAAATTTTAAAAATAAGTGAATGAGAATTACAAGGAAATTCTAGGCTGAGTTTCTATAGGGCTTAACTGTATGTTATTTACAATATGCGTGCTTTTCAGTCACCTAAAAATAGTTATGAACAAAAATCCATGCACTTAACAGACTATGACTAGTAAGAATCAGATACATACAGATTAGAGATGCATGCGCCAACATCTCAGTGTTATGAGCAAAAACAATGAGTCTTTCTGTAAGGAACAATATATTCTAAAATGAAATGGAGATCTTTTTTAAAGGTTAAAAACTCATTCAATTTTATGTCTTACAGGGCTTATAATGAGTTCAATATTGTATAACTGTATTAATTCAACTGTGAACCTAGAAACTTGCACCCACTTGTGAAAGAGATGTACTCTTGCTCTGGAGTGTGTTACTGAATATGTTAAAGCTGTAATGAAATGCTTCTTCTAATCATGTAGTTATTAAAAAATTTTTCTAAATTGAAAAGTTAAAAAAAAAAACAAAAAAACCCATGCACTTATGGGGCTAGGGAGATGGCTCAACTATTAAAGGGATTGCTGAGTTCAGATCCCAGCACCCATGTAAAAACCCAAACACAATGACATGTGCCTTTAGGAGATAGAAACAGGAGGATCCCTGAGACTCACTGGCCTGCCAGTCTAGCCAAATTGGTAAGCTCTAAGTTCAGTGAGAGACCCTGTCTCAAATAAATAAGCGGGCATGGTGGCACACACCTTTAATCCCAGCTCTTGGGAGGCAGATGGATCTCTGTGAGTTCAAGGCTATCCTGGTCTATGTAGTGAGTTCCAGGCCAGCTGGGGCTGCAGAGAGACCCTGTCTCAAAAAGATTAAATAAATAAATAATAAATAAATAAACAAATAAATAAATAGTAGA